TCTTTTTTTTTTTTTTTTTTTTTGTTTTTTATTTCCTTCCTTAATACAAATGCACGCATACTCTTCCCGTGTTCGCACACCTGACAATTAAATGATCTCGTGCTATGCACGCGGTAATGATGTGCGTAAACCTTTTGCTACGAAACTAAATAAAATACTACGGGTCCTTTTGTAAAAGCACGATATAAATAAATGCTTAAGCATTATGTACAGTGATTCTCGGTTTAAGTAAAAGCCGCTAGCTCGGTTAATGTCCGCTCGTACTGTCCAGAATTTTTCTTTTCTTTTCATATATCTATACGTACGTTAATTTTCTGTACGTTAAAATGTTATTAAATTTTCTGCGAGTTCTATGGAAAATTTTTAAAAGATTTTATACACCAATTATATACACACAAAATGAAGATGATTGAAATCATGAAAAGTCGAAGCGAAAAATTTATCAAAAGTCTTTTGAGTGAATTGAATTCGATTATGGAATATCGAATCGAAATAAAATTGTTAAAGTTATTTTCCATAAGCAAGAGTACAAGCAAAAGTACAAAACTGGAAGCACGAGCAGATGTGCGCGCGAGACCGCGCTTGTAAGTGTATGTATGTGTGTTTGTGTGTGTATGTGTGTATATGTATACATAATATTTATAAACGTATATAGTCTGCAGTAAATTCAGGCTAATGTAAATCTAAAAATACTGCTCGTCTTACGAACTTATCAACTCTCCACTTAATAACAACTGTCACACGCCCAAGTGCTTTATCTCCTCTTTTATAAAGACTAAATTGTTATTACATGAACATACAATAAGGCAACGGTTTTAATGCTAAATAAATAAACGTTAAACGTTGAAAATAAGGGAGGAAGAAAAATTAATTTACAGTTTTCCTTTTTTCTCTAATTTCTACGATCTGGATCCGTCGATCACGTTAAATCTACATCGTGTATCGCCTTCTCTCCAATTCGTCTCTTAATGTTTGTTTATACATGTGTGTGTATGTGTATGTGTATTTGCGTACGCATGCATACGCTTGTGTGTGCGTACTTGTGTGTATGTATATGTTTGTGTATGTGTATGTATACATTACATTTACACTACGGTATGCGAATGTATCCGCGCGTGATGATCTTCCTCTTCGCGTGTGATCTGCACGTAGAACGTTAGCAAAAATATAATTTAGTTATACTTTATCATTATAATTCATTCATATAAAAACTTCGTTAAAATATATAAAAGAAACAACGATTTGAGCAAATACGTATATCATCCTATCCATACAGTTAAAAAGTACCGCGTTGAAAAAACGTTCATTTTCATCATTATTGCACATTAATTATTTTTTTTTTCCTTTCTTTTCATTTTC